CCACAGCCAATATTTTTTCTTATTCATGTTGACTGTGGTGAACTTACATTACAATTACACCAATACGGTGGAAGCAGAATTTGGCCAGCCCCCAATATTTTTCACCATTAGCTAAAATCTTCCTTAATTTGTCTTGTTTTCCTCTATGACAATTTGCCTTTGCCTCAGGTAAATCATACGTGAACCATATGAGCTGAAGCAATTTCTTAATGACTTGATTCTTGATGAGGACTCAGTGTGCTTTGTATAATGCACTAATTTAAAAAAAAAAAAAAAGTAATCAGATAATTATAAAATGGAAGGGGAGAAATCTACGCAACACTCCAATCATAAAAGACATCTAATACTTTGATATGATTGAGCTAATTTCCCAAAATGGTAACTAGAATAGTTGTGCCTTAGATGTTACATAGCAGTCAGCAGGGCAACTAGTTCCCTTCTATGGATGCACACTGCAAGTGTTGCAGTTGATATGCAAATACATATTTTGAACTGAAAGAGAAGAGCTTCTTAGGAAAACAAAAGTGTTCTCTACCTAAAGGTAAATCAGGATGGTCACAACGTGATATAAAGCTAAGGCACATTGAAATGTTCCTCTTCTAGCACCAGATGCATGTTTTGAAATCCCTGTTGTGAAATTAGACAAAGGGGGACGCTGCTCAGCTCTGGTTGACGTACTGCTACGGAGTAAACGTGAAGGGAGCAATGCCATAGGGCCCGGGACATTCGTTTCGTTACACATGCTATTAGGGAGACAGCGGTCCCAGTGCAGCATGCTGTTCTCTAATGTTGTCTTCTGCTGTCACCACTCCTGCAGAGCACTGGCTCTGTCGTATTAAGCAACCGAAGAAACAGGCCAAAATACGAGGGGCAACAGCAAGCGTGCCACTTCAGCGAGAGCCTCAGCGCACAGGGAGAGGCTGGGCTGCGCTAGACCAGAGAGGTCCACAGGACGGTCATCTAGGCGAAAGCTTCATTTGACATAGAACGGATGGATTTCCCACAAGGTCATCTCTGTTAGTGTGCAGAGGAGAGGGCAGCAGGATTTGGGAGCAAGGGAAGTCTCCATTGCACGTGATCAAGCATGTCTGAGACAGCATAGGTACCAGAGTGTTCCCATTATCTTTAAGTAACCCGCTGCCTCTTTGACTTTCACATCAGGGCCTAACGTTAGTGAATTAGCTATTAAAACCCCAGATTTTCCTTAACATCAACTTGACTTGCTGCACCTCAGTGCAAGCCAGTTTCCTCAAAACTCAGAGCTGTTCAGCTCTAAAGCTTTTACCTGGGCCTCTTTCTGAGTGATCTCCCTGTCATATTCAGGAGAGCTGGAGAAGAAATATCTCTGATTTTAATCACCGTATTTCATGAATAATCAGACAGATGATTTTTATAATTGCATTATTTAATTCGACAATGGCCCAGCTGTAAATGTCTGCATTTCTCTTTCTGTATCCCTGACACCTGCCCGAGGAGAGTCTAAAACCTTTTCCTGGATTTTGCTTTTGCTTGTGCTCTTCTGAAAAGGCAAGCTCATTGTGATTCCCGGACTTTGTGACGATTTCATCTCAACGGCAAGGAAATAAGTAGAAACCAATTTGCTGTCAAAACACAAGTCTGAGAATTGCTGGGTTACTACCCTCGGCAAAACAGAGGCTGTATCCCTTCCCCAGCTCCATAGAACTAATCCCATCGTGGACTGGATGCCACACAACAAAAATGACGTGCTTCACGTTCTGCTGGCCCGTGCACCCACCCAGTTTGTCCGTAAGACAGGTTGGCCCAATGCAGGTCACCAACAAAAGGTCTTACTTACAGGATGGGGTTGATTAAGAAGCAAAAACCAGCCCTTCAGAAATCCTGGTATTTCTTGTTTCTTTGAAGAAGGAGGGCTGAGTATGACTTCAGCATGAATTATTTTAATTGGTGGTTTTACAGACTTATGCATAGGCATGAAGAAAGCTTCAGCTATTGGAAGAGGCTCTTGTTTCTAAAGTCTTCTGACTTTAAAGACTTAGTGGGAAAGAACATATGAAATTGATATCTTCCAGGAACCACCATTCATTACCATTGTATCTGCATGAATGAATGACAAAAAAAGTTTTACAAAAGGAAATGAAAGGCCGGCGAATCATTTCCTATGTCATACAGAAACCTGCACATCCATCAGGCAGGATTATCTGGAGGAGGGGCTGGGATTGCAGGCTGCAGCAGTTAGGAGACTTACAAGCAGTTTCAGCTGCTCTCAGAACAAGTCTGAGGTGGGTGCTGCAACCTCGACCCCCTTCCCCTCCGTATTTCATACAATAATCTGGGCAGCTTCCAGTACTGTAAAATCCAATGTAATTATTTCAAACAGTAGCTATATGCAAACAGAGACAGAAATCCTTTCCCACCACGATTTCCTTAGTCAAGTTATGTAGAAGTTCTGCAAAGCACATAGCACAAAAAGGCACAAAATGGGCATAAGCCTTTAGTGACAAGCTGAGAGCAGAGGCTCTGAGAGCTCTTCCTCCCATTCCGATTGGAACCGGGTGGTTTAAAACTCAATACTGTTACGAGTTAACACATAGATAAAGGATTCACTCTTGCTGTGTGCTTTCTGAATCATCTGTTACTTTTCCATATCTGATTCCAAGGAAATCACAATTCATTTGGTAAGACATTTTTTTTTTACTTTGTTCTTCCTTTTTTATAGACTTAAAATACCCTCCTTCCAATTTTCCTCAGAAACTAAGCTGCTGGTACTTTCAGGGACCATAGCAATATTAATACTCGTGGTTTGCTATTTTTTCTGCATGAGTTTTGGGCAATCTGTTTTCACTGCATGGAGCCACCAGATGATCCCTCCTGAGTTCACTACAGTTCTCACCCTTCCAAATCTCTCCCACCCTACTGAGAAACATAAGGTCCCAGGAATGTGTACGCACCACAGCGTGTACACACCACAGCATGTCCTCTAGGCCGTGAACTTCAGCTAAACTGCGGGCCCTCCAAACCCCTCTTAAGAGTTGGTCTGGGCCAACAATCCATAAATGCCCTCAAGACTGAACATGTCTGTTCTGGCTTTGCCAGTCTGCAATACCAGGGGTCATGTCTCCACTTCAGATGCACCACTGCCTCTCCACGGAAATCGAAGGCATTGCCTCCAAACAGAGAAAAACACATCCTCCGTAAAACCGGGCACTGCACAAAAATTGCAGAGAACTGGCAATGCTGTCAGCGTAGGTGCTTGGATACTCAGTTCTCTGAAAGGAAATAGCTCTTAGTGCCTGGAAATTCTGAGTGATTTCAAGCAAAAAGAAAAAAAACAGGTGACACTGAGAAACCGTATGTATGCCCAGATGTTATACTTGAAAGAGCTAAAGACTTGCTTAGTAAGGAAGGGGTTAAAGACAAATATGTGCTCTAAAGCAGTGCTCCCTACCAAGTGATGTAATTTCAGGACGTGTTCCAGGCTTTTCTTCCCAAATCCTGCCTTTCTGAGGGAAAGGAGGGCAATCCCTAGAGAGCAATAGGAGAGCATTCTTCCAACTTGTCCCAGGACAGCAGTATGTGCCCAGGGAGAGGAGGAGAGAGCCCGTGCTGTGCTGAGAAACACAGGCGAGTGTTCATGTTGTGTGCAAGCTCTCTGGGGTGGGAGTTCTCACTCTCCTTTCTCTTGCTCATCCCTTTTGGTCCACAACATGGTGCACAGTGAGCCAACCCTCCGTGTTTTTCTACGACGCGTAGACTTATTTCTAGACACCTTCTCAAAAAGCTAAGAGAAAAGCTAACAAATGGTGCGGGGAAAATACCATGACAGGCATTTAAAGTGGTTTTTAAAATAACAGAAATTTACATATTTAAATTGTTTATAAATCTATAAATTATACACTATGTTATATTGTACATCTATTGTATGACAGCTGATGCTTTTGGAAGATGCTTGGAGAGAACTGTTTGTTCTAGGAATAGCACAATGGGCCATTCCAGTTGATGCTAACACTCTACTGGCTGTATCTGGTAAGAATTGCACAATTTAATGACTTTGTTACAAAAATTACCATAAAAATACATTACTGAAAAAAGAACAACATGTAAAGAATAACAAATTCCTACTGAACAATAGAGCATACCTGTCATTTATAAATCTATATTTAAATGCAAATAATGTTGTTTTGTTGTATTCATGACTGCTTGCATTGTCATTTAAATGCAAATTACTGTGTTTGTTATCATCCAAGAGAAGATTTTATATTAACTTTCATACAATATAGTCAGTTTAATGGAACCAGATAGACAAGTGTGACAATAGAGTGGATATTGATACAGAGGATTTTGTCAGAAATCAATAAAAAATAAAGCAAATGCCTTTAATATTATTTATTTCATCTGTTTCTGTTTTAGGCATGAATGGTGACAATACAGATTCTCAGAAGCTGAATAAAATTATTTCAGAAATACAGGCTTTACAGGAGGTTGTGGCTAGATTTAGACAACTTCGGCTAGATGCTACCGAATTTGCCTGTCTCAAATGCATTGTCACTTTTAAAGCTGGTAAGCAGAAAGAACCTCTTGCCTGTCTGGTCTGGTAACTATGAGGTTGCTACTTTAAAGCAAAAACGACATTTTAAATCAGACATAGCTTTATATCATCCAACAGGTTTCCCGGTATCGAATTCCAATAGTCAGTGCGGCATTTTGAAAGGCTGACAGTGGAGTGCTGGGGAACTAATGGGAACATTTAATTTCCATTGATAGCACTAGCTGAACTGTTTTGACCCACCCAAGAGTCACGCTGAACTAGTAACTGATTTGCTTTCCAGTGCCTACACACAGTGGTTCCGAACTGAGGAGTTTCCGAAACGCTGCCGCCATAGCAGCCCTTCAAGATGAAGCCCAGCTCACTCTGAACAGCTACATTCATACCAGGTGAGCAGTGTGTTCTCTCAATATTTCTGGCAGGTGTAGGGGTAAAATCCCGCTCCCACTGTAGCAAAGGTGACATTTCCAATGACTGAAATGGGGACGAGGCTGTTACAGCAAGTATACATTGGCTGTCAGCCTGCTGGGATTTGGCATTTCCTGATGAAAGAGAATCACAGAAAAGGTTGGAAAAGATTCTTAAGATCATCAAGTCCAACCGTTAACCAACAGTCCATTCATCCATGCCCCTACACGTCTTTTAAGTACCTCCAGGGATATTGACTCCACCACTTCCCTGGGCAGCCTGTTCCAATGTTGGATAATCCTTTCTATGAAGAAATTTTTCCTAATATCCAATCTAAACCTTTCCTGGTTCAACCTGAAGCCATATCCTTTTATCCTATGGCTTGTCACTTGGGAGAAGAGTCTGACCCCCACCTCGCTACAATCTCCTTTCAGGTAGCAGTAGAGAGTAATAAACTCTCCTCTCAGCCTCCTTTTCTCCAGGGCAACCCCAGTTCCCTCAGCCGCTCCTCATAAGACTTGCGCTCCAGACCCTTCACCATCTTCGTTGTTCTTCTTTGGACATGCTCCCGCACCTCGATATATTCAGACAAATGGAAAAGCGCTAAAAGGAGAGATCTTCCCCTGGGAAGTGATACTTGCTGAGGAACACTTTGCATTTCAGAAGGCTACATTTTCCTCTACATTTTATTCAGTTAAATATTGTTAATAGAGATGCTCAAAACAACATAATATCTCTCAGCAGTATGAGCACTTTTCACCCACGATCTCCAATCCCTTTGTCATTTCCCCCATTTTGCAGACACAGAAATCAGGACACAAGGAAGTTAAATAACTCTTCTAAGACACTACTCTGAGTTTGTTCTCAGGTTGAAATGGAAAGCCCAGAACTTGTGAATCCCATTTTGGTGCTGCAAGCAAAGGGATGAGAATCATTGTTTGGGAAGAAAATATTCCGCCCTGTCTCATTCAGGATAAGTCCCATGGGGTACAGAAATCTTAAAACCTGCTGTAAAAGTGTACAGGGGTGAGCCCAGGTATGCACAAAATTTACTGTGCAAAGTACAACCCCACACTCTGGAACAGCTGGCAGCTAGCCTCCTCCTATGGACCACTTCAGAGTGGTGGGACAGGGGAGAAGCCTGAAGGCTGCACCTAACATCTTCTGCAACAGCTGCTCTGGTTGGTTCAGGACTTCTGGGGAGAGCTGCGATAGGTTTTGTAAAGTCCAGGTCTGCGTTGCTGGAAATATATAACTACTGGGCTAAACAGTATCTGTTGTAAAAGATATCCTTTGACAAGGAAAAAAAGTGCAGTCCGCTGACAGACTGTCACATTGACTCCAATGGGATAGGGCTTCAGCTCGCGTTTCATTCTCAGGCTTGAATTTACCTTCCTGCCAGTGTTCCAGCAGTGGAATCGCTCGCAACAGGACAGAAGGGAGAGCAGACTGGAGAAGCAGAAAGTTTCTCCAAACCATCTACTCCTTTTAGGGAGTACCGCTGTATGCAGAGGTTTGAGACTCACGCTGGTATGAAGTCAGTGTAAGCACAACTAGAATACGTATCTTATGTTGTGTTGGCTTCAAAAGCTGGGAGAAAGGGTGGAAAATTTCCTATTACACAAATATATTACCTGGGGATAAAACACAGCTTCTTTAATAAAAAAAAATTCTTTCCAAATATGAATTGGTATTCAATGCATAAGGCAAGCAAAAGGGGGCAAAATGATTACCATGACAATCCAGCTAGGTTTAAATTGCACTTTAAATGACAGGGCATTTATTGTAGGTCAAGCTCTTCCCTGAACAGCATCAAGAACATAGTTGTTGTCTGAGGGACAAGTCAGAGCAGATCCTGTCTCTCTATTACTACAGTTCTGAGGGAATAAACAAAGGAGCTAATCAAAACCGAGACATTGGTCTGTATTCTGCTGATCTCCATTAAGAGAGTTTTCCCTGGGGTCAACCTTCTTGCTCATGTGAGTACAAACCACAGGGTTTTAGCACAGGCAGCAGGCACCAGAAAAATTTGCTGAATATTGGTCTTTTCTGTAAAGTAAAAGATTTTCTTTGGAAAAATATCTAAAAACTTCAACATGCTTTTTTCTCTCTTTGTCCCCCAGGTACCCCACACAACCCTGTCGTTTTGGAAAACTTTTATTGCTTTTACCAGCTTTACGTTCGATTAGTCCATCTACGATAGAAGAAGTGTTTTTCAAAAAGACCATTGGGAATGTACCAATTACAAGACTGCTTTCAGATATGTACAAATCCAGCGACATATAAATTACCTTAAAATAAACAGTCAGGATGGACAGTTTGAGAAGAACTTTTATCTGTGGAGAATAAGCCTCAACTAACAAAATCTACAGGAAGCATAAGCCTGGGAATGTTTAGCCTTTAAACTCATTGACAAAAAATACCCCAGTAGATATGATTCTGCTGCTCTGAACAGAGTGATTTAGATCATGGAGAGAATGCTTTGTTCTACAGAAAAAGTGAAAGTGCTTGGAATTTGGCTGCTATTCCTGTTACTACAGGATGGAGGCAATTCAGATGCCAGTCATAGTTAACAAAGACTGCGCTATTCTCTCATTTAACTGGCAGATCTGAGAAAAAATGTGAAAGAAGGTACTTTAGTTTGTTCGGTATTTGGAACCGGGTGACCAAACTTGGCTTCTGTTGTAACATGAGATGAGGTGGCCTTCAGAACTGTTTTAAAAGTAGCCTACGTTGGGAAAATGTTTGTAATATGATAGGCGACATTTAAGACCAGGTTACCAAAACATTGCTTCTGCTATAATACATCATGAAGTGGCCTTCAGAACTGATTAAAAAGTAGCTTATGACGGCAGCTCCATTCTTCCTGCAAAAAGAACTGGTGATCTTTGATGCGGATGTCACCACAGTTCGTTCGGTTAACATCTCAAAGACAGAAGAGCTTTATACACTTCCTCCCCGACCTTCCCTCCTTCTTCTTCCACGCAGGCAGACACACATTTACATTCACACCTGAAAAGATACAAGTCAAGAAAGGAAGACTAAAACAGCAAAACCAAATACAATGGAGATGACCGCGTCAGTGACCTGCTGGCTGTCCCGTTGGCACAGTGCTGAAACCAAAGGCAACGGTGGCCAAACTCTTTGTCAATGAGATGTGCAGAGAAGTGAAATGACTATTAAAAAAAAAATAAAATCAATGGAAGGAATTTCATTTCAAAGAAATAAGGGTTGTTGACTGATACAATGCTAACAATTTCCAAAAGTCTCCAATGCCTTTTTAGAAAACTCCAGGTTCTAATTTTGAAGCCTTGTTCGCGTACACCCTCTCACACACAAAAAACGTTATAAGCTGCTTATTTGATGTATGAAAAATGTAGAAAAAACATTTAAAGATAGCTGCTGTACTTTTCAAAATTTGATTTGTTATTAGGAACTAGCACTGAGAAAAATCAGCACTTGGACTATCATAGAATGAGTAAAACTTTTCCTGTACAAAGTGGATTAACTGATTTGTGAAGTTAAAAAGTTGTACTCATTGTATTTACAAAGAATAAAAATATATTGAATTTAAATTACTTTCCACTGTTCTTTTAATGCTTGTCCTTCTATTTCTGGATTAGTTTCTTCCATTGTACCACGCTTACCAGGGAACAGAAATATTCTCTACTATAATGGATTGCCTTGGATGCTGTGGAGTCCCCATCATCAGAGGTTTTAAAAAACAGGCTAGACAAACATTCAAGAAATAGCTTCGGTGATCCTGCCTTGGGGCAAAGGGACTTTGAGGTCCTGCATAGAGCTGTTTTCTGTAATTCAAATATACATCTGCTGTAAGGTTTCCTTCTCAAGGAGCCGACGCAGAGCTTTTTTTAGGACACAATACTAAATGGATCAGACGTCTAACCTAGCATAAGTCTTCTGTTCCATGTCATTACAGTTTTTAACATTGGGGAATTGTGCAGCTATAAAGGGTGATGAGTACAAAAACACTGCTTCAATTAAAAAGATTCTGTGGTTTTATTAAGGTGTCCAATTGTGTAATCACACCAAAGAAAGAGGTAAGCAACGCCCAGTGCACAGGAACAAGTTGGCAATAGGAGAAGGGAAATACAACACATGTCGCAATGAGTGACCAAAGAGCCACGCACATTAAAATGACAGGTGGAAATGTAGTGCATATCAATGGCTCATTGGTTTTCAGGAATACAGATCACAAGTGAAATCCTAGCTCCGTTGACTCCAAGCACAAAAATCTCACATTTCAGTGGTCAAAGTCTTCACCTCATCTCTCTTCCATTTGTGCAGTTTGCTGGGTCTCACATTCTGCCCTTCCCAAGACAGCCAAACCATAAAGTATCTGAGATGAGTCTTTCCATGAGCCAGGTGAGACAAAGCATAGACTACAGGACTTTGAAACATCTTCTGTACAAACTAGCATGGAGCACTTGAGAACGCGTTTACCACAGGGTATAGCACATTCTTAGAAAGACACCAATAAACACTTTATAAAGTTTTCTTACTGTGTCTGTAATAACCATTTTCTGCTCTCTACACTAGAAAGAACTGGACAGAGCAGAAAATCAACTGTGGCTCGCCACTCTGTGACAATTCAGTTTATGAGCTGAAGAAGTTGAACCCACTGCTGTGCAGAACCCATGACAGAACACTCATTTCAGTAAGACTCATGCTGCTATTTTGGAACAGCAATAAACACGAACTGCACCCATGCTATGAGGCAACCGCACTCTGCAGCCTGCTGTAGTCCCAGTCCCTAGATCACCTGAACTAGAAGATGCAACAAAGTGTACTGGCTTTCTCCCAGTTGCAAAGCAGGCAGAGCAATGGATGCACACCTGTATCTCATCCTCTTACCTGCAGGACCTAGCCCAGCTGCAGAGCAGACTCATGAGCTGGGAACAGTGCCCAGATCTCTGTTGTTTAGGTACAGCTGATCTCGGACCATGTCTTCCTCCCAGTACTGCATATTACCCAGAGACAGAACCGGTTACACTACACTAGAATTAGGGTCTCTAGTTAGCCTTGAAGGACTGAAGTCCAGGCGAAATTCCAGAGTCCAGCGCAGATGTCCCATCAATCTCAGAGGTTAACACTCCAAAGTCCTCACTTTGGAACTAGGAATACTTTGACATCAAGCATGCAGCCTTCTGCCTCTTCACCTTATTATTTTTTTTTTTCCCCCACAGCTGATGATACAGATTGCATCATCATCTTTTAAGGATGAGGTGTTTGCTTTGATTTCTGGAGGAAGCTCCTCTCAGAAAAGAATATTTGAGGAAAAAAAGAGGACACATTACTAAGTATCTAAACCTAAATAACAGAACTTAATATACATTTAGCCCTTCTTTCCCCATTTCCAAGAGTAACTCAACTTTTAAGCGTGATTCAACAAGCATAGATAATTTTCAAATTGATTTTACATTATCAAAAGCTTATTGAAAAGCTAGACAACTCCAGGCTGCAAGTGGGCTGTGTCAGTTTTGGTCCCTGGTTTCATTAATAGGACTGTGGGAGAGATTCAACACAGTCTTTGTTGATTATGAGGGGGAAAGAGCAATTATTTGAGCATTTAACTTTTCAGTGTAGCCAGTCACTAGTACTACACATAATCCAGTCAGCCACCACTGTTTTGCCAGCTTACTCTTTCACATCCAGATTTCCACAAATGAGGTTAATAGTCTTATTTAACAGAAACTAATAACTTTGCCAGTAAGTTTGTATGATGGTCTTGACGGTGATAAGTAATACTATAAAAAGGAAAAAGCAGTAGAGCCAAGTGTAAGCCAACATGTAATGTTACCAAATAGCACAAAACACTGGATCAGATTGCTACTAGTGTTCTTGAATCTGTGTTTAAAAGCATTTGGACAGGTAACTCCCACGTCACATTTGGAAGCATTACAGAGGCTTCTTCAGCCACAGAAGCATCTAGTGAGAAAGACAACTTCAGCAGTGTTGCTTGTGAACTGCAGTTCAGGCATCAACCACCTGCATTTCACCAGTGGTCATACAAGCATAATGCTACAGCTTCCCCTTCATTAGTGTTCAGTCAAGTACAGCTGGTTTGTGTGACATCATATCCATAATTGTATTTGTAGAGCAGAGCTATTTCAAATCTAGGACTGAAATTATAATATGATTATAGGTTATGTCAACATTCCTTTCTCTGTAGGATGGTGTAAGTTTCACTTGCTAGTTGAAGCTAGATTGAGGCTTCTTACAACAAGTAGAAAGGTACTCTTTTCCTAAACTTATTGAAGCCTACCATGAATGGGGTTCCAGCTTTGGCTCCATAACACAAGAACAGCCTTCAACATCTTTATTTGTTCTTTAACACTTGAGCAGCGAGTACCAGCACCTAAGGGTATTTAGTGGTGGCTCTTAATAATACAAGACTACATTGCAGCAAGGCTGAAACACCACTTCACTTAGTATAGTCAAGTCCCTGCTTCTCAGAAAGCAGGAGATACCCCACACTCAAGGTCAAGAGTGACAAAACATTTGAAGTGCATTTTCACTTTTATTTCAAAAGTTTAGACAAGTTACTTTAGTATATAAATTTGATTTTTCCTCTTACAGAATATAAAGATAATTCCCTCATTACTTCAGTATAAAGTGTTTTACAAGCTTGAAGACAATTGCATAAGTGTTTCTCACACAGGGTATCAGAAATAAAGCAGTCTTTCTACAGAAGTTCAGACAGATGACTACCTCAGAAACAGCATAGCAGTTTAGTCAAATACAAGTGAACACGTGACGCTACAACTGTGCAAGTTCAAGTAAGGCCAAGTCAGTAAACATTGTTAAGTCATTGCAAATAAGAGTGGAAAGGTTTGTGAGACATTGCAAGGGGTGGATGGTCTCATAGTATAATACTCTTAAATCAAGGACTCAGAGGGATTTAGCTAGAAGACAAGCGAGTTCTTTAATGCTATAAAGCATATGCAAAGACCAAGCAGTGTACTGATGTTAGTGAAGACTTCGTGCCCGTTTATCCTCAGCATGCTAAGACAAACTACAACCTCTTAAAACCAAGCATAAGAACCACTAATGTTATGAAGATGCCTTCAGAACTCAAGTATGTCTTATTTTGGATGGTGTGTAGTTTTTGTCTATTACTTCATCTTGTAAGAACATGTGAAGACAGCGCTCATTCTGTGCCAGTGGGTGGCCTGCAACCCTGGAGAGGAAGAAAAAAAAACCAAGCATTAGTGCTAACAAATCGAGTCTACTGGCCGCTACAGCCAGCGGAGCAAGGTTTTATACCAATAACCTATGATTCTGCACTTCAGCATAGATCCCACTTCCAGCTCACTGCTGGTGACTAGAACGATGTCTGGCAGCAAGATTTGTCATTCTCCCCCAGATGAATATAGTCCACAGGAATGCCGAGATAATTTTGATCATTTGGAAGCATGTTATGTCATCATATGCCACCTGCAATTGATGGGGACTATCAAAGTGCCCATCCTAGCATTAGGAAATTTAGAGTTCAGTAAGCCAAGTGGATTTTTACAGGTCTTGATACCTTTGTCACAGGACACCTTTCTAAAGGCAGCTGAACCCCTCAGTTCTCAGCTAATTCAGTAGCAGTTAGCCCAGGCAGAGTTAAAGACTTACTCCATCAAAGGGTGTGAAGGTCCTCTGAAGGCTCTGACACTCTGACACTGATGCACAGCCAGAGGGTACCAGCCATTCTGTTAATTGCAGATGTCTTTACATATGAAACAGAGGAGACACAGAGCTTGTCTATTCTAGAAGAGACCAGCACCTCTCCTGCAGATTTAGTTTTGTTCCACATATAGCCTGAGCCACCATCCTTTTAACAGTAAAGAAGCTGAAACTGAATTAGAAAACACTCCCAGGCTTAGAAGAAAGCCACAAGGTATTTGCATTTAAACACTTAAAATACCATGCAGCCTTCTGTGTAGAATCTAAATCCCTGGAAGTTGATCACTTATGGACATGAAAACCTAAAGCAGTTTGGTTTGAAAAAAGTTAAAGCCAGTTTGGTCAATCAAGACAGGCTTCTCCCTTTAAGAGAGAAAGCCCCCCATCCTCCTTAGGACAACCTTATGGCCTCTACATCTGTCAGAACATTTCTACTCCAAATGGAAGTTATCTAGTTGAACAGGTGTAATACATAGTCAATTCCAGTGGCTCAGCATCAGTACTTCCAAGCACTTTTGTGCTTCTTCTCCAAACATGTCTACTAGTACTTATTTCACCACAGGACAGATTCACCTGTCACTACTCACTTGTCAATTGAGGGTGTGCTTTAACAAGGAAGCTAAGCTCTCCTATTCAGCATTGATAGATTATTTCAAGTGCAGTCATAAAATCTATCAATCTTGCCAGGTTCTGGTAAATGGGCAGCGGCCTCCAGCACCAGTTCACAAGGAAGACAGTCTGGAATAATTAGTCAGTCTGGAATAATTAGTTTGAGTTTCTTACCCCCATCAGACTGAAGTTGCTGGCCTTGAACTTCAGGAGAAAAATATATAGGAGAAGATGAGGCAGCACATTCCTTCTGCCTTTCAGGAAAGCTTGCAAATTGGTGGCAGAATTGCAAGACTAGGTCTGATCTCCCAGATTCAGCTCTTAGTTTCACATGAATACCTCACCCTGCATTGGCTTATCCTCAATAGTCTTCGCTAAGGTGACCCTTACACAGAACAGCTGCTACCTCAAAAACGTTCATGTATCCCAAAGCCACATTCAGGCAGACAAGTGTGTTGCAACATAGCTACCCCTGTGAATGTCACTGTAGGTAATATTGATGGTGGTGCCAGCAAGCTGGCCCAAGAGAGCTGTAAAATCTAGAGGGACAAAGCTTCTCAACAACA